ACGGCTGAAAGGGCGAGCATGTTTGGTGTGACGGGGATTCGAACTCGCGACCCTCAGATTGCGAGTCGAGCGCCCTATCCACCGTTGCAATAAGAAGGAAATAAAGCTGCTCAATAAGATACAAAGTGTGGATCCCACCGTTGATGTACGGTATAAAAAACAAGTCGGAAATTTAAGGGTTAAGAAACCGAAAAAAAAAGTAGTAAAATCGAAGGAAACAAATTAACGTAAGATCTCCAAGGTGACGAGGCAGCTGATATCAGTACAATAGAGCCCCTTTCAGCCGTAGGGGCGTTATAATGTGTCAATCAATTCCACTATTGGTTGGCAAAAGAGTTGGCGGTGGGTAGTGTTGACTAGCTGCCTTCCTTGTTGTGAGTCTAGTCTATCACTGCTAAATATGGGACGGATAGCGCAGATAGCCGTCGTGCAGCTTTGCGCGAAATTCAAAATGAATCAAGCCAAAGTAAAAGAACTGTGTGAAGATGCAGGCCCTCTCACGGAGACTCACAAAATCAAACTGTGTGAAGATGCAGGCCCTCTCACGGAGACACACAAAATCAAACTGTGTGAAGATGCAGGCCCTCTCACGGAGACACACAAAATCAAACTGTGTGAAGATGCAGGCCCTCTCCCGGAGACTCACAAAATCAAAATGTGTGAAGATGCAGGCCCTCTCCCGAAGACTCACAAAATCAGACCGTGTGAAGATGCAGGCCCTCTCCCGGAGACTCACAAAATTAAACTATGTGAAGATGCAGGCCCTCTCACGGAGACACACAAAATCAAACTGGGTGAAGATGCAGGCCCTCTCACGGAGACTCACAAAATTACTTCGAAAAGTGCAATTGGAATACACGTGCTAGAACATAGTACCATCGTCTTTTTCCAATAGATTTGCCGCACTGAGCATTTTGTAAATATGCCCATCTATGCTAGTAGTAAAAAAAAAGAAGATTTTCAGATAAACTTTGATACAAACAAGACTAATTGAAGTGGTAAATATTTCGATCGAACATGAAATTGCAGACTGAGGCCTAAGATCAATCAAATAGGATCGGCCTTTGAATTAATGTTAATTTTATAAAAGTTTTTCGTCTTTTCAAAAAAGTACATTTAATACAAGTCTTAGCCTCAATGAGAACAAGAAAACCGCAATTTTCCTAATTGTAAAATTTTCAACTGGTAAAGTAATCATGTGTAACCATTAGTGGTAATATTAAATAAACTTTACTTAACTTGTAATCCCATTATTTCATTGTGCAATTAAAAATACTGTTACGCCTCCGTTCGTTAGTTAATTTTCCGTAAAAATTCTTTCCGAAGAAATTTTTGCGATACAAGTCCTTTCTTAAATAAAACTGGTTTATTCTTTCTAAATACAACTTTGCAATACACTTAATTTCCCAAAACGCTATAATTCACAACGAACGTCTCACGTGCTCGACTCAGCAATACGTCTCTTCCTGTCCGCAGTTCAATTACACATTGTTGCCGTCAGTTCTTGGCGGCTTATATACAAGACTACCGCATATCTAGTAGCCTCTCGAGGTTTCATGAACGTTCTAGAAGCGCATGGCGTGTTACTAGCGTCACGTGACCTCCCGGTCGTAACAGTACCATTGGAGGAAAGGAGCAATCTGAAAAATTGTAGTGTATGGGACTGCAAAACAGCTGACGTTGGGCCTGTAAGTAACGTTAAGTAAACGCGTTGGGCTACATATGGGTTCGAGTTCGCAACATGCGTCTAAACACGTTTCACATAATCGTGTGTTGGTGCGTTATAAAAATGATAATTAATCCCGCTATTCAGTTTAAAATAGGCGGTGGGTGTTACTGATTGATTGCCCTCTCTCTCTCGTCAGCAATTCTAAATTAAAGATGGCCAATCATGAACCTAAGGGTCTCTGACCCGGTCGTTTAGCCAAAATCTCATTGGTTGTAAACCTGCGTTGACTTTTAGCAAGCTTACGTTTCGCTTTTGTAATTTAAAGCAAGTTATAGTAAATAACGAATACAACCTGGTGAGAAAAAAATCATTTTTATCCTTACATCTGTTAAGCTTGAGCTTAAAGAAAGAGTGCGTAATTTTGAAAGGCTTGTAAGAATATGTTTCGGATTCACACACGTCCCTAGTGTGTTAAACGGTGAAAATAACGAAATATTAATATCTAGAACAATATCTTCTGTTTAGTTTGAAAATTTTCATGCAAAACTATACAAGGGCTATTTGCGCTTGCTCGTCCCTAATTTTCAGCTTAAATACTAGAGGAAAAGGTTGTTTGTTATGGATTTCGCGTCTAAAGCAACACGAGGGCTATCTA